ATACTGTATTGCGTGTTCACCACCCCAAGTCCCATCTCCTGCCATCACCATTTATCCCCGGTACCCTTCTACCTTCCCCACCCCCTTCCTCTGGTAATCACGGTGCTGTGGTCCGTCTCTGCGTATTTTTCCCCCTTTGCTTTATCCCTTCACCTTTTTCACCCAGCCCCCAACGGCCTTCCCCTCTGACAGCTGTCGGTCTGTTCTCTGTAAGAAAATGCTAATTATATTTAGCCACGCACTCCTCACCTCACTGCAGGAGGTCTGAGAGCAGCGCTAGAGGGAATGATGTCCGGGTAATTCCTTGCTCTTATTTGAACTTTATTAAACCTGCTAAGGGAAAGCTAATGATGTAAATTCTTTCCTGGGGCCCACACACCCTCTGGTGGAGACGACAAGTAACCAAATTCCCACGCACTGATGTCCTACAGTTAACTTGTCAAAGGTAACTCTAGGTTTTGTTTTACTATCAGCAGATTCTTGATCTTCGTAAAGATTAACAGGGCTTGTGGCCTTAAACATTTATTGCCAGATGATGACATCTGGAAAAAAATCACTCCCTGTTACCTCACTTGGCTCCCCCTCTGTACATGGATATTGGCAGGTGAAAATGCAGTTTTTCTCATCTTACATCCTGGACTGTTGCATAAGATTGGAGTCCTTTTGTAAAAGAAGTTAAATTATAATCAACAATAGCATTTTTGATATTGTTAATTGCTCCCAAGCAGTGATATTTGCTATAGTAATCTCTTTTCTTACATTAAAGATAGCCATCTCCTCCCACCCCAATGTTTTAATATATAAGATTTTTAAAAAGTTGTATTAAAAACTTTTCAGATTTCTAGGTTTATTTACTTCCTGGCTTATAGTTGAGTAAGAATATCAGATTCTTGCACTAGATCAATGTAAAAAATAATCTGATATTCATACCTCCAGTTATAAAAAAAAGGAAATAATATTCTTATAGAAATAGTGCCAGATGCTTTCAAATACTCTGCTTTTTCTGCCACATCATTTCTGATGTAATAGAATTGCTAGGAAGACAGAAAACATTGAGGAAAAATGTAACTGCATTAGCATACTCCACACAAAGAAGTTACATAGGCCCAGCAGATGTGGCTCAGCAGTTGAGCACCAACCTAGGATCCAGGAGATCGAGGTTCGGTTCCCGGTCAGGGCACGTGCCCAGGTTGTGGCCTCGATCCCCAGTAGGAGGTGTGCAGGAGGTGGCCGATCAACGACGACTCCCTCATCATTGATGTTTCTCTCTCTCCCTTTCCCTTCCTCTCTCTGAAATCAACAAAGATGTTAAAAAAAAAAAAAAAGAGCATTCTCCAAAAAAAAAAAAAAAAAGTTACATATGATCAAATCATAAATTAACATTTCACCTGAGGATGTTTTTGGTTGTGAAGCTAAGAGTTACCCTATTTGTTGAATATCCTTTAGAATATTACTTAATATGCTGAAAATTACTTGCTGAATACTCACCATATTTGCTGAATATCCTTTAGAAAAATTACGTAACTTTTTATCAGTAATCTATAAAATCAGTGTCCAGGTATTTCTGTGTGTGCATTGCGAATGAGTAATAGGAAATGAGATGTTTGCTACCAGCCCTGCAGGACGGTGGAAATGGAAATACACCAAGAGCAAGGGGGCACTGACCCCCACGCTATTCAAAATGGGGTTCTTCCAAGTCATTTAACTTTTCCTCATGAAGATAATGGGGGTCACAGTCATCTGTTTATCTCCCGGGTTTCTCATTGGGGCCTTGCCCTACCTCATCCTGTTCACACCTGGCTCTTCCCCTATATATTTTAGGAAGAAGAACTTACTGTTCTGAGAAAAGCTCCCAGTAAGTCAGAAAGTTTGGGAAATAGTATTTAGAAATATATAGGGAACAGAGAGAAAAGACAACCTGACCTGAGAAGAGAAAGGGAAGTAAGAATGGGAGTGAAAGTTTATGTTCTGGTTGGAGATTATGTTGGTTAGGTAACAAACCAACACCACCACTACCCCCACCCACATCTGGTACAGAGATGATAACCTGGCAGATAGCCTGTGATTAAAAGTAAGAACCATTATTTATAACAGGAAGACTAATGAGAAAATAACCAAATGCACCTTTATATACTTAAATAAATTATTTAAGTGAAATCTTAACCTTGATTGGAGAACCATCCATAAAAGTGGAATTAGGGGACCTATTTTTCAGGCATGAAAATAAAAACTTATGTGATAAAATTTAAAAACCTAGAAATGCAAACACCTTTTATGCTTTTATTTTCACAAAGAGGTTACATTTTTAAAATCTTATTTAAAAAATTTAGAAAAAGAAATAGTTTGTGAATCATCAGTGGTCCTGTGCATCTGAGGAGATGAGATCTAATGAACAGAAACCACGCACGCACTGAGGCATGGTGTGACTTGGAATTTAGCCTAGCCTCTTTGCTATTTTCATTATATCTAAAACAAAAGTATTATGATGCCTGTGGATATAATTCTGCATTAAAGTAATTTCTTATTTTGAGGGCATAGAGCACCCCGATCATTTATAATTATAAGCCTTGGTGCCATTTTTAATGTCAAATATACTAAAGATCTGTACTATGTGTTATTAAAAAGAAACCTCATAAGTACTATTTTATCGTACATAAAAGGTTGCTATTAAGGAATATCAAAATTAGGAGAATTATATAACATTACCACCTTTCTGAAAAATAAGAACATGGGAACTCATAGATGTTTGCAGATATCCTTGCCTGTTTAAAGGTTATTTAGAAATTGGTAACTCCAGGTTCATTTCTGCCTTCTTTGCTTGCGTGGAAGATTGAGCAATGGTGTTAATTTAGAGAACAAGAACAATATCTAACAACTATTGAGAATTTTCTTTATAAGTTCAGCCAACTTGAGAGTGCAGCCAAAGTCAATATCTCCTCAAACTAGTGTGATTTCAACAGTGCGAGTGATATGTGATTCAAGCTTCTAGTAACATCTTTCTGTGGTTTTTTAGTTCACAAAAGTGTTTACACTCCCAATTTACTGTGATTAAATTTCATTAAATCAACTCGTTCTTTTTGGGAGTTACCAGTATTAAAGTAAATGAATGATGTAAATTTATTCTAAAATAAAATGTCAATGGATAATAATTTTAAATTATGTATAATTAATAAAATGCATTAAATAAAGGCTATTAGGAGCATTTTAATTGATATGAAGATAAAATCTATATTAAAATCCCTATTATAAGCAATCGGATTACATGACAAGTAAGCAGCATACTCTTCTGAGTAACCAAACAGAACTTACCAGGTCGAGTGGTTTCCATCATGTCTTCATAGAGCAGTGTTCACCCACCTATTTCTGGGATTCAGGTAGCCCAGGTATTTCACACACTGTTAGCTTCTCAGGAAGCTTCGCCCACATTCTACCATGGGGAGCTGCCAGGACCATTCACTTATAGGTACAGGTGCCTGGAAATGAGCCAAAGCTGCCCCTTCTACAACACGTCTCTACTTCTTCCTTTAAAACCCAATCAAAATGTACAAATGTTTTCTATCACCATTATTAACTCTGTTGGCATTATTCTGAATCTCCCATTTTTAAAACACAGATGCAGCCCTGGCCGGTGCAGCTCAGCGGTTAGAGTGTCAGACCACACACCAAAGGGCGGCAGGTTTGATTGCCCATCAAGGGCATGTACCTGTGTTCAATATCCAGCCCCGGTCGGGGGGTGTGCGGGACTGTAGTCGGAACTGGTCAGTGTGAAATTTTCCGGTCATCATCAATAAGGTAATCTGCCACATAGGCCTTTCCATCCCTCAAAGGAATGTAGATGAAAGAACATTCAAATCTATAGAAAAGTTTTATGAGAGTTTATTTGAGCCAATTTTGAGGGCATGCCTGGAAGCAAGATCTCAATAGATTGAAAAAATGCTCCAGAGAACGGTAGTTCTGCAGTCTCATTCATGCACTTAAAATCAAAGGAAAAACATAAGGAAGGTACATGAAGTCCACTGGTGGTACATCAAGGAGGCAGGGAAAGCACAGCGGGGAAATCTCTAGGATTGGGTAACAAGCAAAATGGAGAAACACATGCTTCTGTTACACTGGTGGGTACAAGACTGTTAATACTTCATATTTATAGCACAGAGACACGGTAGGTGGGCAACGAGATAACAATGAGGGTTTCTGTGGTGTGCTCTACCCTGAGGAGTCTGTAACAGGAAATTACTCTGGCATTTCAAAGGCATGCTATCTTAGATTCATAAGAACAATCGAAAGGGCTCACTTAAGGTAAAGATGGACCTTTGCGAAGAAAGTGATAGGCCTGGGCCTTGATACCAGCTATGACCTGCCCAGTTAGGAATCTGTGATCAGACCACCGTGTGTGGTTCCTTTTGGTCAGGCTTGCAGCCTGCCATGTGGCCCCCTGAGCGTGTCAGGTTTATTCCACAGCCCCTCTTTTCATTCACAGGAAGATGAAGTATCTCCCACACAGACCCTTTCTGTCCCACAGGTATGTTATGTTACCTAGACCTGAAATAATCTTTTTTGTTTATGACTTCCTTGTCTTGCCTTTATAAACCCGCACCTTTCTTGTAGTCTTTGAGCTCCTCCCTACTTGCTAGATGATATGACGCCTGATTCATGAATTGCTCAATAAAGCCAATCAGATCTTTAAATTTGCTCCACTGAATTATTTGCATCACTGATCAGGGACAAAAATTCAAGGGGAAAACATGATGCACTTTATCAACAATATACGTTGTGACAAGGTTTTTAGAAATCTACTGTGGCAAAAAAGTTAACAAATATTTGCACCTTTATTTTGGTGGAATAAACACAGAAATAGTAATGAGAAATTGAGATAACATTGCTACAACTCAATTTCTTCTCTGCCCATCAAAAAGATGTACCATGGGAAATGCTACTCGTGCTTAAAATACTCCATTAAGCCACTCAAATAAAACTACAAATCAAGGAAATTCTGCAAAGAATTTTCAATGAGTTTCAGTGAACACATTCTTTATTGGTAAGTAGACACTTAAAAAACCTTTTTCATTACACACGTCATGCAAAACAACTGACTTCACACATGGTTGTCTAACCACTCATTGTGACATCTTCTTTGAGATGAATATAGATTTTAAGTTACAGTGACTGTAGTAGTAAAAAAAACCTGGACAATGACTCTAAATGAAGCAAAATACTATGCAGTTCCTGTAAAAGTTTTGTTCATCCCTTCTGGATGTTTAATTCTCTCTCCTAATGCAAATCTCTATATTTTGGAAGACTTATATACAAAAGTGGCAGCTGTTCTGTATGTGCTAGGCACTCTACATAATTGATAAAAAGAAACTACAAGAATAAAATTTCAAATAATTTTACAGGGTTTGTTTGGTTAATCCCTTTCCCCCCACCCATCCCGTTTTGTTAATCCAAAACAGGGCAATGCCCTTTTATTTAAAATGCTCCTTTGTTTCAGTAGATCATTTCCTCAGAAAGACGATTATGCTCCTGAGAAAGTGTAGTGTATCCCTGGTCATCTTTTTGAACCAAGAGTGACTTTTTGAACTATTTTTTATATATTCTGCAAGTTGTTTTCAATGAGAGCAAAGAAATGCTTTCTATTCTGAGGGGAAGACTCCGGAATAATCTTAGTCTGTTATGACACTCAGAAAAAGTTTTCTTTGTGGTGATGGATCAACACTTCTTTCTGTGGAATTTCTGGTAGCACTCCCAGTATTAAAACCCTAATACAGGTAAATTTACTGCCTTAAGTTAACCAGAGCCCCCTGAGAAGGGTGAACTCCAAATCCCCTATTGGCACATCAAGTCAACTGGCAGCGAGAGAGTAGGCACAGAATGTTTCTAGGTCCCTGGAAGTGGGATGCTATCATAACAAACACCTAAAAATACAAATACAAAATGGCTTTGAAATCGGGCAGTGAGTAGAGAGGGAAAGAAATTTTAGGAGCATGACAGAAAAAGCCAAGATTTCCTTGGACACTGTTGGTAGATGTCTGGGTGAATGCTAGTGAGGGCTGAAGGGGGTCAGGAGCACGGTAGAGAATGGGTAAACTGCCACGGAGAACATCTAAACTGTCGTGAGAAGTAAGGACATTAAAGGTACTGCCAATGAGGGCTCAGAAAGAAATGAGGAACATGCTGTCAGAAACTAAAGGAAAAGAGATTATAGTTACACACTAGAACCTTAGCTGAATTGTGTCCTGCAGTTATAAGGAAAGCTGAAGTCATGATAAACTTAATATATTTAGCTAAAGAGATTTCTGAGCAAAGGGTAGAGAGTGCAGCCTGCTTCCTTCTTGTGTATTATAGTAAAATACAAGGGGAGATAGATAAAATTGAGGGAAGAACTGTTAAATATAAAGAAAACAGGACTTGATGACTTGGAAATTCTCAGCCTATCCAAAAGCTAAAGACATTAAAATGAAGAGATTCAGGAAAGTCTGCTCCAGGGAAAGAGATAAGGGGGTAGCTGTACAACTTGCGCTAATACCCAAGAAAGATAAAAAAGGCTTGAGTATTTAGTCACACAAAAGGTTCTTTGAAGAGATTAGGAGTGTGATTTATAGATCTTCTCAGCCATCTCAGAAAAAGTCAGACAGAGACGGGATTATCTAGGAAAAATATGTAAGGGAGCCTCTGGTCTATGGTGAATCCCTGTAACATACACAGAAGATCCACAATATTTTTTGAGAATGTTACACCAGCAGACGTTGCCATCTCAAACTAAAAGGTATAGAGGGTGTGTGACATGAAAGATGATCAGACCTCCCAGAATGCCACAGGCAAGAAACAAGTTGACAAAACTACTCAGCTGTAAACATGTACCTTTCATGAAAGCGTCAAGAGGACTCCGAGAGAAGGCCACAAGCCTGGCGGATGGTGCTGTCAGCCACGGAAGACTAGCTCAGGCTCTGAACTGAATGGAGTGTGCCTGGCAGAATTTCTAAATTGCTTGGCACTTAGCAATTTTATTCCATTTTCTGATTTTTTGAACAGGAATGTAACTCTGTTATTCTATGCCTGTCCTACCTTCATATTTGGGAGAAGATAACTGGTTCTAGGTTCACAGGTGGACAGAAATTATGTTTCAGGAATCACACCCAGGTTCTTTTTCATACGTGATTTAGACAATTTAAATGAGATTTGGGATTTTTCAGTGGGTGAGACTCAGATAAGATACTGCATTTGAAGTTAATACTTTAATGGTTTGAGACTTTTGAGCACCTCTGGATGGTGATTTTATTTGGGGATGTGAATTTTTGAGGCAGAAGTAACCTGTGGAAATAGAATGGTCCTCCAAAATGCTCATGTTTTAATCCCCAAATCAGTGCATTTTGCAAATGTGATTATATTAAGCATTTTGAGATGAGATTATACTAGAATATCTAGGTAAATGAAATGTAATCACAAGGATCCTTGTAAGAGAAAAGCGGAATTAGAATTGGTAGTAAAAGACATAAAAACAGAAGCAGAGACTGGAGGGATACAGCCATAAATGAGAGGATGCCAGTGGCCTCTACTAGCTGGAGCCTCCAGAAGATACCTGTGATGTGCTACTTTACACAGCAAAAGGGACTTTAAAGATATGGTTAAGGTTACTACAGACCTTATGAGGAGATAAGCCTGGATTACCTAGTGGACCCAATCTAGTCACATGAGTCCTTGAAAGCAGAAAACGTTTCCTGGCTGTTGTCACAGAAATGTGATGACAAAGAAGGGTCAGAAAGATACGTTGCTGGCTTTGAAGATGGGAACAGAGGGCCACAGGCTAAGGAATGAAAATGGCCTCTAGAAGCTGAAAAGGTCAGGAAATGCTTCTCCCAGAGTTTCCTGCAAGGAATGCATTCCTGTGAGTACCTGACTCTAGCCCAGTGAGACTAATTTAACCTATAGAATTAGAAGATTATAAATCTCTGCTGTTACTAGCCACCAGGTTTGTGTAATTTGTTATAGCAGCAACAGAAAACTAACCAGGAGTGGAGATCTAAGATGAATGGTGTCTGGGAAGAAGAACAAGCTTTTCTATCATTCCTAGGTGCCTGCCCCACTCAGGAAAGACCTGACTTCAGCAGAATGCGAACCTTCCTGCTGGTCATTCTTTAGACACAGTCGGCCTGACAGAAATGACATTCCTATATTTCCACTCTTGTTTTGTGCTGGAGTAGAATACACTCTGGTTTTGACACTTAGAACAGAGTTTAGTATTTGTAGTGGGCCCCCTAGAAAAATGTGTTGAGTGAATAAATGAATGTGATCAAGGCAGGCTCTGGGAAGGGTTGTGACTCCTCTGTTTAAAATGCTGTTTACCACATCTCTAGAACTGCTGACCTTTATGTTTGTTTCAAGTTCATGGTATTCATAGTTCCATAAAATACAAGGTTGAACTGTATTTCTGATATAGTAATATAGCAAAATCAGTAAGTAAAAAGGATGTACAATATCTTAATAGGAGAAATAATCATCACATGATTAAAGCATTTCAAAATCAGAATACAGATACTCTTTAGTATATATTACAGATACATTTTCAAAATATTTGATCAGGAGATTCCTTAATGGCTCTTGATCAAGGCAGCATCAAGAAACTTTACTACAGTTTTATCAAATTTATCAAAATGGGGTTTCATTCATTTTTTCTGCCAGCTAATGTTACATTAACTCTGAGCATGTAACAAATTGGTTTGTCTGGATATTTAAAAGTTACCAACATAAACCAGCCCTACAACTAAAAACTCAAACATATTTATCTCAAGACCTACTCCTAGTCCAAATTCGTCTATACTAAGACTGGAGGACAGCATAAGAATAAAACCAAAATGTATCTGTATAAATGATAAAAACAATTTGGTATTTTTATACGTAAGTTTTCTTTATTAATATGGCACATTATCTCTCCTATGTGTTACTGCATGAAGAGGAGCAGTATTATTTCAGTTGCTGGAGAATCACAGTGTTAAGAATACCTGCTTCTTGTAGTGTCAGGCTTTCATCTGTTAGCTCTTTGTTTGGAAATGAAGTCACAAGAATAAAGTCCAGAGTTGCAAATTCAGGGCGGGACTGTACAATGAAGTCCCGAATATCCAGGATCCTGAGAAAGAAGATAAAAATAATTTGTGATACAGAAGTTTTATTGCCATGTAAGCTTTTGGCTAAAATTAGATAATAATTAAAATTATACAACTCTAATCCTTATTTAAATGTGTTGTAGCTTTCTTTAACTTACATTATTTCAATGGATGGATTTATCTTAGCCTTAAGATAGAATGTGAGGATTAACTTTAGAGTGTATCTAGTATCTACTTTTATTGTAAAACAGAGACAATCTTCAGATGAGTTATGCATGAAATAAATGCCAACCATGTTATTACAATGAAAGTGCAGGCCCCACTTTTTAGCAGCACACGGCCCAGAAAAAGGTACCTCAAATTCGCCTGTGTCAAAGTGAGTCTGAAACTATAAAAGTGAAGTCATAAGAATAATTTTTAAAAAATTTTAAAATTGATTTCAGAGAGAAGAGGGGAGAGGGAGAGAGAGATGGCAACATCGATGATGAGAGAGTCATTCATTGGCTGCTTCCTGCACTGGGGATTGAGCCCGCAACCCAGGCATGGTCCAGGAATCGAACCATGATCTCCTGGATCACAGGTCGATGCTCAACCGCTCAGCCACACTGGCTGGGCAATAATTTTTTAAAATTACATTCACATAGGGCTTCTGGTAAAGATGGTGGCGTCAGTAAATGCCGTACTTGCATTATACTACAACTACAAAAAAACTACAACTAAGCTACAGAAAAACCATCATTCAGAACCGTCTGAAATTTGGCTGAACAGGAGTCCTACAACTGAGAATATAAAGAAGAAGCCACATCAAGACTGGCAAGAGGGATGGAGACGAAGAACGGGCTGGTCTCACATGGATAAAAACTGGGAGGGAAAGTACATTGTAAAATAAACAAAAAATAGAAATTATGGGGGGAAAAACTGGGAGGGATATCTCGGCTGCGGAGGTCCCCCCTGAGGAGCGAGGAGTCCCAGCCCCACACCAGGGCCCCCAGCCCAGGGTTCCAGTGCCAGGAAAAGAAGTCCTCATAATTTCTGGCTATAAAAACCAGTGGGGACTGTGGATGAGTGAGACAGAGGGCTTCAGGAATCCCAGGTAGTTCCTCTTTTTTATTTATTTATTTTTTTTTATTGATTTGCGAGAGAAAGAGAGAAACATCAATTTGTGTTCTACTTATTTATGTATTCATTGGTGGATTCTTGGATGTGCCCTGGCGGAGGACTCAACTCACAACCTTAGTGTATGGGGACGAGGTTCTAGCCACCTGACCTACCCGGCCAGGGCCCCAGGCAGTTGCTCTTAAAGGGCCCACACATGGGCTCACTTGGACTCATTTCCTCTGAGCTCCAGCACTGGGGCAGCAGCTGAAAAGGTACCAGGGACATACAGGGAAGAACTGAATTGTCTGACATGGGGTGGGGTGGTGACAGGGGATAGAGCTGGAGGGGTAGTTTTCCCCCAGACAGAAGTGCTGGCAGAGGCCATTGTTCCTTTTCTGAGCCTTCCCCACACAGAGCTGGCAGGTCGACAGGTAGACATCATGTCTGAGTCTCCACCAACCTGGCTACCACTATTAGTTCTGCCCTGGTGATTTCCTGAGATCCACCTCACCCAATCTGCAGGCCCACCCAAGCCGTTTCCAGTGGCTTTTCCATACAAACAGCCTGGCTTGGCTCATGCTTCAGACATTCCTAAAATCTCTCAAATAAAGGATCTTCTTTAAGAAGAAGAAGAAGAAAAAAAAGATAAAAAATATGAACAATAAAATGGTAATACATACATATCCATCAACAACTGAACCTAAAAAACATGAACAAGCAGAACAGGAACAGATGCACAGATGCAGCAAACATTTTGACAGTTGCCAGATGGAAGGAGAGATGGCTACAAAAGGTGGAGGGATTAAGAAGTACAAATTAGTAGTTACAAGATAGTCATGGAGATGTAAAGTACAGCATAAGGAATATAGTCAATAATATTCTAATAACTATGTATGGTGTCAGCTGGGTACGAGATTTATCAGGATGATCACTTATTAAGTTATATAATGTCTAATCAGTGAGTTGTACACCTAAAACTAATATAATATTGTACATTAATTGTAACTGAGGAATAAAAAATGATTTAAAGTAAAAAATTCTTTTCACATATACATAGCAACTCAACTAAGATGATAAATGTGTACCTCAGAGGGAAACAATAAACAAAAATAGTATCTTATTAGCACAAATGTCCACGTACGTGTGAATATTACAATGGCATTTAAAATGGTTTATTTGAAGTACCTAACAATAGCACAAACTTTACACAAATTTATATTATGAAGAGTTTGCTATATAAGTTAATCCCGATCAGTATTACCATAAATTTTTGAGTAAAGTCCAAATAAGGTTTGACTATTAAATTAATACTGATTCCACTTCACATGGTTTTAGTAACACTGCAAAACTGCAGCTTTTAACAATTTTGTTTTTTTGAGTAATATCTGGATTTGCATTAGTATTTGAAGTTTACGAAGGATTTTAATTATCCAGTATTTCATCTTCTTACATATAGCTATTACCCTTTTAAAGTTTTTTTTCTTTTGTCAAAAACTTACTACAAATCTAAAGAATTTCATGTTCTTCATTGCTCGCGTTACACAGTTTTGCATAGATAAGTAACCGTGTGTGTGTGAGAGCAAACTAGAAGCTTACCTGTGTGTACTATTGAATCTTTGTATCAAACGACTCCCATCTGCCAGCCTGATCTGAATTTTTGTTGTTGGCACTGAATCATCAATCGGAACAACTGCATTAAGTATTGACTTATCCTCCTCTTCTGGGGAGGAAGGTGTACTGACAATCTCAGGTGTAAGGCTGTGAAAGAACAATGAATGAATTAGAACACGAATCCAAGCACATAAGACATCTGACAAACTGCAGACAGTCGAATAACCACTTAAACCTGCCCGACTCTCGAGCTATCCCCTACTCGGGCTTCTGGACTAGCAAGAACATGGCTCCCTTTGGTCTCCTATACTTCTTACAACCTCTTTCATGATATTACAGTTATTTTGGATACTATGATTTTGATTTAGTTTATCCAATCTCTTTCAAAAGCCTATCTGTATTCTTTCCTTCCTTTTCTCTTTGAAATTTCATGAAACTGTTTAGCACACACCAGCCTCTAGTCAGAAATCTGAGCACTTTTGAGTTAACATCAAAGAATGACTAACAGCACAGACAGATGTGCTTTCAAATCTCATCTACGTTCATTGGATAAATTAATCTCTTTGAATCCCAGTTCCATCATTTATAAAATGGGGGAATATTAGGTTATGAAGGAATGTTATACAGGCATACCTCAAAGATATTCAGGTTTCGTTCCAGACCACCAAAATAAAGAGAGAATCACAATAAAGCAAGTCATAATCTTTTTGCTGGTGAAGGGTCTTACCTTTAGTTTGTAAAAAAAAAAAATGCAACATCTATGAAACACAATAAACTAAAGTGCAATAAAACAAGGTGTGCCTGTACCAGTGAGTACTAGAACAGTATATCAACAGGTGCCAGCTATTTTTGCACATATCGTAAATTATTAATTTAACATTAAATATTTTAAAAAGTTATGTTAACTTAGTATTTAGCCTTCAAAGTCTCACCGATTTGGCTCTTGAAACTTTCTTCTATCATTCAACTGATCAAACAATACTGACATTATAATATATTGTTTGTATGTTTGAAGTATTACATTAAGAAGAAATTAAAAAAAAAAAATAGGGAAGTTAATTGATATAACAAGGTTTCTAGGCAAACCAGAGGAAAGGATGTAGGTTGTAAGCACAGTAATTCCCTCAGACAGAAGGAGAAACATCTTCAGACTTAAAAGGGGGAGGTAAGGATGAATTTAATAAGCTTAGAGGTTAAGGGCAACATATTAAGAAAGTTAACTCTTATCAGGCTCTATTTTCTCAGTGAAGCTGGAGGCAAAGACATGTGCTGAGATGGGAGGGGGAGGACGGGAGGCTTAGGGAAAGCAGGGAGTGTATGGGAATGTTCTTGGACAACGGGAGAGGTGCAGCTTGTCTACCCAGCACAGATGTGCAGACGTCCCCAGCAGCACTGAACAGCATAAGGGCAGGCAAATCCCATGGCTGTACAGTAAGGCAAGGGGGCTGCAGAACTGCTGGCATAAGAAAAGGAAGGAAAGAAGGGGCTGTTAGATTTTAGAGAAAACAGCCCTCAAGGTCCAGGGACCAAGATGAAGTCAAATCTCAGCTATAGTGGCTGGAATGAATGAGAGTAGCAAAGAGAATCTTTTGAATTGAACAGTCTGACAAATAGGCAATGACTGTTCATGAGTAGAGAGAGAGAGATTTGCGTCGCATCATGATTTTACCTTCATATACACCAGCTCTAAAGCCTGCACTGAATGTCTGTTTGTTAGCCCTGCCTATCAAAAATGATTCTGTGATTTTCTAGGCCTTCTGCTTGCCCTGATCTACTCTAGCTACTAAGCTTATTTTTATTAATAATACGTTTTGTTCTACCATTGCAAAGTTGCAGTTACATTTGATTTGTGCTCCTGATTTATTACCTGAAGGTACTGGTTAATGTTTTTTATTATGTTTAGGTTTAAGCCATAATTATTTGTATGTCACAATAAAAGATTAGGTTAGTTTCTATCTATGTAATGCTCTGTTTGCAATTAGACTGCCAGCTAGGGAGGACAATGGAATTATTTCCCTTTTTTTTTTTTTTGCTTCTTTTTAATTATTTCTCTGTTCAGTAAATAGCTGTCTGGAACTCTTGGGAAATTAGTCATTTTAAAAAGTTACTTTCTAAACTGTGAGAACTTTTATATTTCAATACATTTCTTTTATATTTATTGATTTTTTAAAAATGATTTTAGAGAACATGGGAGCAAGACAGAGGAGGGAAAGTGGGAGGGAGGGAAGAAAGAGAGGCATTTATTTATTGTTCCACTTATTTAGGCATTCACTGGTTGCTTCTTGTATGTGCCCTGACTGGGGCTCGAAACTGCAACCTTGGCAAATCAGGACAACGCTCTAACCAACTGAGCTACCTGTCCAGGGCCTAAATATATTTCTTAATGTAAAATCTTCTAAAATGTTCTATGCAATCCTTCACTTCCCTAGAATATATATATTCAACTATTCAATATTTGGATTCATGTGCATTACACAGCTCAAAATGCTAAATTTCCTACACATCAGAAGCTGAAAATTCTAGACTACATTTCTCAGACTCCCCTGCAGGTAGGATTTTATATGATTCCACTATCAACTGAGCAAACAAATGGTGAAAGTAAGCACTGGAAGTGGAAGCTACATAGCTCTTCTTGTTACAAACGAGTTGGAGGCATGCTTGGCTCATGGCTCACACTTGGCTTCCTGGCATTATTCAGCGTGGCCCATGGCCATGCAGACCCCTACACCCAATGGACTAATGGACTGCAACTAGCCTGATGCTGAACTGCACCCAACTTCAACATGGATGGAATCTCTGGACACTGGCTCTGATTTTAGCTCTACTGAAACCCCACCTACACTTCTATGACTAGGTTAAGGGAAATGGGACTTTGGAAACCCAGGGGTGTAATTCCATGGAAATACTGCTTTTTACCACATCTCATCCTCCTGTGGGGGGCCTCTGGAAATGCTTATTCCAGTGGTACCCCAAGAACTCCACTTCCACTAGCAAGGAGGGGGAGATGAGGTGTGTTTTTCTCCAATAACGAGCAGAAAGGACATAGAAATGGACACTTGAGTTATGAAAGACAAGGGTAAAGAGCTGATACTGAATTCTTTCCTATTTTGAGGAGAGGGGAACAGAGAACCAGTGTGTACAAGGCAAATGAAAAGAACCTGGAAGGGAAGAAATCATGTGAAAAGGAACAAAACATGCACAAAAGGGTACATGGGACACGTGGTGAATGTTGCAATTCCACAGGACATCTGTAGTGATGATGTGTGGACAAATAGGGGGTAACTTTTACCAACTTATTTGACAAGATTTATGAAGTCTTTCAAGCCATGCTATTATAAAGGGGCCCACCCATACATTTGCCAAGCACAGTTTAGAAACCACTGTGCATGGTATAAGTTCTAGGGGTTCTTTGGAAATATCTCGGAGACGATTCCTCCTTCTCCTGGAGGAATGTATTTAAAATGTATTGAAAACAACTAACTTAAGCACAATGCTCTTGCTGTAAGAGCTTAGTGGCAGACAGGCATGCTTAAAGCTAGGATCTAAGATATCTACTGTTTTATCTAATTGAAAACCCTTTCCAATATCCCCTTTCAATTCACGTAATCAGAAAGAGGCAAGAGGGCCTAGTGGTAAAAGCACAGACTCTGGAGCCAGAGTGCCTAGTTTGAATATGCAGATTAATTCCCGGCTCAATCAATCTGGGCAAATACTGCATCTGCAAATGGAGGAGCCCCGGGATCTACAGAAAGAGCTGCTGTGAAGATTAAGTGAGTTAAGGTATGCAAAGTGCTTAGAAGGCCAGGAATGTGGTAACTGCTACCTAAGTGTTAGCTACTAATATTATCACCAGATTTGCATGTCTAATTCCATTGGCAAGGTCTTAGCTTTTCCTTTCTAGGTTGTTTTGATTTTGTTACACTCAGAGGAAATTCATGTTGAACAAAGACAAGTATTTTTCTCATTTTAGAGCTCTACCTTCCCAGTTTCTGTCCTTCTCCACTAAAAGCCTTGAACCTCAGTCTGGGCTTGATGTACTCCTGGTCCTGATGGTCCTCCATATCCAAGTCCACTTGGCCGCCACGAACCAGTCGCTGAAGCTCCGGGGGAATTTCTCTTTTAAAAAGGGGAAAAAGGTTTTAGTTAACTTTTGAAAAAAATGAATCTATACTAATGAGATTAATATAATCAAGTTGTGAGCTACACTGGAAAGCCACAGTTTTTGCATAAACTATAATATAAAATTTCTGTGATGACTGCTATTTCTTTATCTACAGATATTTCTGGAGATAATTCTTTCTTAAAGTTGTATCACATTATTTCTCAGTGATTCTCAACATAAGGATTTTTTTGTTGTCATAGTGATCTTGGAGTGCTTCTGAAAAATTGTACGACTGCAATTCTTACCTAAATTAACACTAGAAAATTCCTATGAGGACAGAACAGTTAATGTAGATATTTCTTTCCAAACTCCTGGAGGAAGTTTTTCAAAATGAAAGGGGTGTTTTGATTGTTGTGTGGCTCCTGAGTGCTGTGGCTCAGTCAGGGTGGGGGATGAACGATGCTCTGGCCAGGGGGAGTCATCTCTCACAATGAAGACTTGTCTTGGGCTCCACAGAACCACTGAATGCCTTGCCAGAGAGTCACATGATGTCGAACGACACTGTTTATAATGTCTCAGTCTAAAATCCAAGGGTCAGGCTCTGTCTTACATATAAGCAAAAACTCAAAAACTGGGTTTTTTTGGCACTGTATTAATATGCTTTGAAATTTCCATCTTCCATATAAACTGAGGGAAGACTGCACCTTTGTCTTGTTTGGAACTTTACCAATCCCTGATCACATTGCCACTTATTGTAATGAAGTTGCCAACTTCACATTCCTCATTGTTCAGTTTTTGTGTCTGTCACATTTATATGAGAAGTGCTAGATTGCACACAGGTGCAAACTATCTGGCTGCTTTGTTATATCCTCTGGTGTGGCCACAGAAATTGAAATATGTATAATATTATGATAAATTCCTTTATTCTCTCAATATTTTTAAGATAAAATTTACATTAATTTTTTGGAAATAATATGCATAGATAGGTTATATTATTTATGAGTTTTTCTTTGAAGATAGTGAAGATGGTGTTACAAAGTATTTGTTATAAAAGGGGGACAACGATTACATAGTTGACAATCACTATCTGACATCAATCATAGTTTTCAAGGAGTCTTTTCTAAAACTGTTCTTGATCATAATTTGTTTGAGGATATGGTATGGTTCAAATTTAAAAATAATTTAGTATATCATGATTATGTGATATACGAAGTTCATAGATTATTTTTCATTTAACAAATTAGTTTTGATCTATATTATAGCACATTCATTAATATGTTCTTTTCTACTATCTTGAAATAAGCATCAATTTCAACAGTACTGTTGATCTTCACTTAGCAGATGAACACTTTTCCTACTCAGTCACTCCCCACTCTTCCCAGTGACTGCAGCGTTCCAAGCCCAAAGCATAGACTTAAACTATTATATCCTTGTATTTACCACTCACCATATACTGCGTCTCCCAGGATAGCCTCCCTCCCACCTTTCTCAATGACTTCAGTAAACCCCTTACAGCATTCTTGCCTTTTCTTGGTATTCTGACATTATCTTTGATTAATTCAAATTCAAAATTCATGCTAATTAGTGTTGCAAAATACCTTTTCTCCAGAGTTCCTTCACTACCTCAACTCCAATGAATTTTATCTCCACTCCACTTCAGCCACTCTCCTTGGACATATTTCATCACTTGCAGAAGCCCCACCTTCAATTCCTGGGTAGAGCATAACCTCCTACTCCAGTCCCTTCACTGCTACTTAAATCTCCCAGTTCATCACCAACATCTCAGTAAAATATCGTATCCTTCGGCAAGAAGGGCTAGAGAGTTATGTTCTTTAAACGGGTCAGAGTACTGCATATCGGTTTACTTTCATAAATTATAACTTCAAACTAACCTTTTGAAATCTTCTGCCAGCAGTAATGCCACTTTAAAAGATTTCTAATATAAGTTGCTGAATTTCAGGCATACATGCAATGAGAGTCACCCTGTCAACAGTAAGCAGGAGAGGGCTTAGTGGATGGGCAACTACATGCTAATCAATTCACTGATTTATTACATTGAGATGTTTTTTCTTAAGAATTCGGACCATAGCTTTATCAGATTTTTAAAGGGACCAATGTCTTACTGCCTTCCCACCCCCACAGGTGAAAACCAGTAACTTACAGACAATATGTCTTTTATATACTTAAAAATATCCTTCCCCCAGGAACCATTTCCATAATATGACTCTTAAAAACCAGTAGTGCCTTACTGAACAGCATTCTACTAAAAAAAAAAAAGTCCCAACCTAAGTAACAAATAGAACACAGATAATGCAGCTTACTCTCTTTCAAACAGACTCCAAAAACTGAGCATTCACTGAAGTCCCACCCTAAGTAACAAATAGAACACAAGTAATACAGCTTACCCTCTTTTAACAGACTCCAGAAACTGAGCATTTGCTGGGTCATTGTAAGGTCTCAACTCTCCGTCATCTAAACTGAAACCATTGCTCCACAATTTAAGCAAAATCTGAACCTTTTGAGCACAGAAAAATAAAAATAAATACAAAAATCCATCTGCATCAAACAATTTTAAATTTTAAATGTGGTATTTCACAACATATGAAATCATTTACTTAATTCAAAATATGGAGTTATTTGTACTATTCTTATTCACAGTTAAAATAAAGACATAAGTGAAACCATGTGTGTTTGCTAAGCAGATCTGTATAGCATAACAAATGGACAATGGCTGAAATACCAAGGGTCCCACAGGTCCCACACCTGGGCCCTGTCCTCAAAGTACAATTATGCTAGTTCATTGAGAAAATGAAAGCAATGAAAGCATCCAGTTGTCACTCTACATCTACCCTTCTTCTGTGCCCATATTTTCTGCTACAGAACTTAAATATCCATTCCAAGGGGCAAGACAGAATTTCCAGTGACTCTCCAAGGCTAAAGCACACATGTATAAAATGAAGTTATAGCCCCAAAGTTTCAAAAGGTAACAGAAATAATGATTTTAGGTGTTGTTATATTTACAACTCAGTTCATTCTATATCATGGCAGTATACCATTTAAAATAATCGTTATCATATATATGTAAGCTCATTTTACAGTGAATTATACATTCAACAAACAGTTATGTATCTCTAAGAGCAAGACACATTTGGGATACAAAATATAAAATTTGAGACTGAAAACTTATACATTAGGCCTTTTAATCCCTGTTTTCTCAAATTAAGAAAACAAACAGATGATATTTATATTGCCAATTTTTAATTTTAAAACAAACAGTAGTAACTAGAAGCAAGTATCTATAATTTTTCACTTTGCTTACTGTACCTACATCTTGCAGCTGATTTTCTCCATAGATGTATTCAGACTGCTTACAAATGGAATTACCCAATCGGTATCCTCCACCTGTAAATGACTAAGATACACAGCAAGTGAGCTAAAAATTCACTAAGGCTTATGAAGCAAAATATTACAATAATGTGTATTAAGTACATTAAAACTAGATTAACTGTAATTAGTCAAACTGGTTTGTATTTTCCAGGAAAATGTTATATTAACATTAAAGTCTTATGTTATTAGAGAGAAGTGTATTCAAGTAAGAAATTATGGCTCAATTGGTTGGAGTGTCGTCCCGTACACCAAAAGGTCTCAAGTTCATTTTTAGCCAGGGCACAAACCCAGGTTGTGGGTTTGATCCCAGGTTGGGGCTCATATGGGAGGTAACTGATCGATGTCCCTCTCTTTCTTTCTCTTCCCTTCCCCTCCCTCTAAAACCAATTTAAAAAGAAAACTATAGAGGAGATCAAATATATAAGTAGCATAGTTTTGAAATTGAGCATTTACCTTAGATTTGTCATCACCTGAAGCTCTTGTGGCTTCATGCAGAGGGACAGCCCCATGCTCCTTTGCCTCTTTGAAAAGTTCATTCACAATTTTCCCACTTGAAGGTCGAACTAGATGCAATCCACCATATTCATGCTCACTTGAATAGAACCTTTAAACATTACAGTTCATGAATAAAAACTTAGAATACTGACATAAATTACTTTAAAAAAGCTACACCATCTTAGAAAATAACTTTAGTGTAAAAATAATAATTTGGCCCGGCCAGGCGTGGATCAGCGGTTGAGGGTCGACCTAGGATCCAGGTGATCGGGGTTCGATTCCCAGTCAGGGCACATGCCCGGGTTGTGGGCTGCAGCCGATCAATGACTCTCAAATCATTGATGTTTCTATCTCCCTCTCTCCCTCTCCTTTCCTCTCTCTGAAATCAATAAAGATATATTTTAAAAAAATAATAATTTGTATGCCTTCTGTAGAAATATTAAATTTTTAAAACAGGATTAAGGAATTAAGTAGTGAACAGCTCATATAGTTTCTTGTGGAGTTTGCAGAGATTCTAGTAGCAAGCTCAGCATGTGGCATGAAAACTGGCTCGTTTTTTCCTCCCTCACCCTCTGCAATCACTTATCAAATACACTCTTGGAGTGTGTGGAAGTGGGGGGGAGGTTAACACTCAGAAGCTAAGTCTCTTCCCTGAGGAATCCACACTCTATAGTGACCTAGTTAGTGAAGAGACCTCTACATTCAGAGAGTATGAACACCTAAATCTAGACTGCAGAGCTCACATAGCGGGTTTACTGCTCAGTTTTCTGGACTGAAAAATTATAATCCTCTGTGTTAAAGGTAAAATAATTTAGACCACAAACAAGTTTTTCAGTGTAGTAACTATGTAGAAACTGATTTCTACTCACTCCAATGTTCATAATGGTCTTTAGGAACATAAAAATTGTCTTTACATTAGCATCTTATTTTATCTTTTAAGATTTCTTTTCAATCAAGAATAAAAGAAAATGTAACCAATAAAATATCAATGTGGAGACTTCCAGTATAAGATGGCAATCAGAGCTCATGTTTTTAACTACCCATTCCTTCCAAACCAGTTTCAAATTTGCATTGAACTGACTCACAAAACAAAAGAAAGTGGGCAAATTATATCAACACCGGAGACAAACAATGGAGGTTACCCTCAACACTTTCTCCAAAATAGTATGTGCAAAACTGAACAGAAAGAGGGAAGGGCAGGCCAGCTCTCAATTCACGGTAAGTGAAGGAAGAATCCACCTGGAGAACACGTGGACACCAGTAAGCGGAACCCACTCATATAAGCTAACAAAAGGCTGGCTCACTCACAGCAGCTGAGGGTGGGTGCGAAGTGGAGGTAGGGTTGCCCCCATCCTGCTAGAGCTCTGGGGAGCACACCGAGGCCCAGGTTACCCAGAGCGGGAGCCAACGGAAGCCTTCCTGCCGAGCTTCTACCGAGGGTCCGTATGCTGCCATAACTGGCTCTTTTTTCTTCTCTCCCTTTTAAATTTTATTTTAAATTACAGTTTATATTCAATACTATTCTGTATTAGTTCAGGTATACAGCATAGTGGTTAGACAATCATATACTTTACAAAGTGATCCCCTAATATTTCAAGTACCCACCTGGCACCATACATAAGACAAGTGTTAGTATTAGGAGCTTTGTGAGCCTCTTTGGATTAAAAAACCACAAAAAACGATTGACAAAATTGTGCATAAATGTTGTTTTGAGGGAAGAGGAGCTGTAGTTTTCATCAGAACCTCAATGAGTCCTATGACTCAACAAAGAACCTCTGTGCCACAGGAAATTACTATTTATATATAATTCTATGTTGTTTACCAAAATATTAGGTATTTAAGATTATGTTTCCATAAGTTTTTTCTAGCTTTCTGAATACTACAGTTTTGGAAATAGTACCTAAAAATATTTATTTTAAGAAATTATAAATTTTTAAAAAATTTCCAGGGCCACTGAAAATAATTTGGGATTAGTGAACTAAAAAGGGATACGATTTTTAAAAACAAGCAAAAAGCTTACCTTTGAGGTGGTGTTCGTGGGCTTTTAAAGACTGAAGCTTTTGGTCTATCAGATTTGGAAGATTTGCATTTCACTTCATCTTTGTACAATTCTTCCAAGGCCAGCTATAAAATAACAGATTTATTATACAGTATTAACACTAGAAAGAAACTCTTCTACACTAGAAATTATGAGTAGAACAGTAAGTTGGAATTGCACAGTAAAAGCTGCTGCTTCAGAAGATGACTCCCTTTCATAATAAAACCAATGCATCTCTTATTTCAATGTTAGAATAAATAAAAGTTAAAATAATTATTTAATTATTTTCAAAGAACTATTCAACAGTTTCAAAAACAGTATTTGGTAGAAGATCATTTTCAAAGTTGAACCTAAATTCTACAATCCCTTTAAAAACAGTTGAAGGTATTCACAACTTGCTTTCATCAGATGTAAAAAATTATTTAACTGAGCTGTTCACGTTTTCAAAATCCAAACACAGAACAATTTCAAAATTATTCTTTTTAAAAGTCTATCAGACATAAAAGCTTCATAAAGTTTAGGAGAATGAGATGGTAAGAAATGAAAGACAATCAATTACACACATGGTTTCTTTAACTTTTAAAAGCAATACTACTGAATTATGCATTATAGATAAATGGCTAGCTCTCTTCAAAATGAAATAAACAAAACAAAGTTCTTGACATTGGAATTCTAAAAAATTAACCAAATATTTCAGTATTAAGTTATTTTGTTCCCACTTTTGATATCTTTGGACAACAACTCAAAAACTTTCCTTAATGCCCCTTGCGGCTATTCAATTATAATTGGCATAGACATAATCTTTGGAGGAAAAAAACCCCCAAAACCAAAAAAACACATCCCCAAACCCCAGATAAGGTGCTCCTTCTAGAAACACAAGAAGCCTCCAGGGCTTCTTTCCTCAGAAGGAAAGGAAGAACAGGGAATTGGGCGAAGTTAATTCTCTGAAGATTCTACTAGTCAACTTTTAAAAAATATACACAAGAAAACAAAAATGAAAGGCTTTATTTTTCTTTCCCAAATATTTACCCTCACCCTAGCCCCATACACATCAACTTTCATATTTCTAACAGCAATTTTTGTAAAAGTGCTTTGTAATGTAAAAGAACTGGATTAAGTCCTAACTTAGGCTCTTAAATTAGGATCTGACATTGAGTACATTTTTTAATTTCTCTGAGTTAGTTCCCTCATCTTTAAATGTCTATTTAAAAAATTACCTTAGAGGATTGTTTTATGAAATACACAGTGTATGTGAAACATAAGACAAGTGCTCTATAACTAGGAAGTATTATTAAAAAATGTTTAATAATGATTATATCAGTGTTTTATTTGCCCCACGATTTCTTTTCTTCCTGCAGCATTATCTACATATCACTTATGGCCCTTTCCTACTTTATCCCTTAAAAACAACAACAACAACAGAGAGAGTGAGAGAGACAGAGACAGAAACAGAGAGAGACACTCTGACTGACAACTTGGGCCTGAAGTTTCTGGAAATTCTACCTCCCTGAAATCTCTTCAAAAGAATATCCCATTATAGATTTCCTCCGGAGCTGATGATATGATTCTGGCTCTATGAATTACTTTTATGCTATTCCTTTTCCATCAATGGAAATCTTATCTGTATTTCAAAGGCTCATTCAGCCATCCTTCATGAAGCCTTTCCTAATGTTCTTAACTAAATGATATTTTTTCCTAAATCCTCATAGCATATGCTATCTTATCGCTGACGCTTATATTAAACATAATATCGTCATTTGTATACTTTTCTTACTATTTTATCTCCCTGGCTATATTTAGGTTTCCCAGATTGCTTCTAACATAGTTCTTAATAGGCACCCAACAAATTCATGTTGAATTATGTAGACTACAAGACAACATAAATCATAAAGAGATATAGATTAATAAAGTTATAGATTTTAAAACTGAGATTATATTCACTATATAGTCTTGTATCTTGTTAGGTTTTTGCTTTAAGAAAATTTGAATAAATCCTGTCAATAAAATAATTTTCTCCTGTGAAATAAATGAATAAAACAAACAATACCTTTTGACTCCCTGTGATGTGAAATACATATTAGCAAAAATAGGAACATGCAGAAAATTATATAAGAGCAGGGAGTCCACCTCGATGAAAGGTCCTAGTTATTAACAGTACATCATTAACTTAGAAGAAAATGAATGATATTCAGAGGAAATTAATACCAGCACTCATGATATCCCTGTGTTATCACATGGCATAAGTTTATTAGTAAATATTCAAAGAAATTTAATTTGTATTATTTGACATAAATGACATCACCTCAGCAAAGGAAATAATTATTTAAGCTGATCAAATTAAAGTGAAGTACTGGTCAAAGTCAACAAGACAGACAACAACAACAAAAATCTCAGCCAAATAAAGAGATAAAACGTGTATTATGAAGTAATGATGTATTGTGAATTATCAGGATGGAGTATTCCACCAGTAAAATAATTAGATTATGAAGACAGTTCAGATACACAGAGAGAATAAAGTATGCAAGCACTGATAATCTTTTCTCTAGAATTTGCAATGTGAAGAACATGAAAAGAAACCTGAAGGCAAAGTTATTGGGAATGAGAAAATCAAGTACACAACAAAAGACTAAAAGTACTGTAATTCTCAGTCTTAGAGTGACAAAGGCCAGAAGGTATAATACAGATTTTTAAAAATATACAATAACAATATCAGCATCACCTGGGTACCTTGAAAAATGCAGATGCTTAAGCCCACCCTAGATCTAAAGAAACTCTGAGGTGGGGTCCAGCAATCTGTGTTTTAACAAGCCTTCCAGGATTCTGATGCCCACTAAAATTGAGAATCAATGACATAGAACACTTATTATTCAACAGGATTAGGATATGTGTAGCAACTGTAACATAGCATCAGATAATCTTACTTTTTTTTTTATAGAACTCCCTCTTTGTCCCACCCAAAGCCCAGTATTAACCCTAATAAATACTAAAGTTTCCCCCAGTTCCAACCTATATGGAAATAGAGAATTAAGAACAGAAAGCTTTTTCTTTTGATATTATTCTGGAGGAAACTGGGACAAAGATACATAGGTAATTCAATACTTTAAGCTACTGTTAAACCCATGTGTGTGGCTGGACTGAGGGGCCCCAGCAGGTCTCTGAAAATGCTCAAAAACAATGAATACTTAGATTTTTAGGATTAGTACTGTCACTAACAAACAGGCCCTAAACTTCACCGGAGAATATTTCCCAATTTCGGGAGATGAAAGGAGCAGATATATACTCAGGAGATTTCTGCAGTTTGTAAGTCAGAGTTCATAGTGCTGGGAGGTTTTCTGGGAGATAACTGAATACCTTCCCCATGTGGGAAATGAGGAAATCTCTCCTGATTTAGGTGCTGACAAACCCTGTACAATGTGGCAGCTAAGATATGTGTCCTTAGGGGTACATTTGCTTGTTCCATTAGTAACATATCACCTTTTCCTCTATAATACCCTGACAAACTCTTAAAGCAAGCTGTTAAGAAAGAAAACTGCACTAGATGGGCAACATTTAAGCATGGCTAGATTAAAAAATAAGATAATCCAAACAAAATCTACATCCAAGAAACCACTCAGGGAAAGGGGCATTGTCCAATTCTTTTAAACCTTTGATACATACTCTATTTCTTCATATGTCAGCACTTGTTTTCAGGTTTCTTTGCAATTTCTTCACATTCTTACTAATTTCTAAAAGGAAAGATTATCAATACTTAGTGTATTTGATATCGCAACTCACGTTCATAAAAACAAAAACAAAACACCTATGTTCTAATTGATGGTGGAAACAAAGGCATTCTCACAATTAGTGACATCTACCAGAATACCTCTGATCATTAATCACATATTAATCCACTGGATTGTTGGTAAATTTGCCAAGAATCAGGTGATCAATAACTAATCTGTTCTTGTTCACATAAGAAGAAATAGATTTAGCCCTGGCTGGTTTGGCTCAGTGGTTAGAGCACTGGCCTGCAGACTGGGTCTTGGGTTCGATTCCTGGTCAAGGGCATGTACCTCGGTTGTGGGTTTGATCTCCAGCCCTAGTTGGGGCTCGTGCAGGAGGCAACCAATCGATGTTTCTCCTCTCACGTAGATGTTTCTCTCTCTTCCTCTCTCTCCCTTCCACTCTCTCTAAAAATCAATGGAAAAAAATATCCTCGGGTGAGAATTAAAAAAAAAAAAAAAGGATTTAAATTAGAGAATGGATATTAAGTTACATAGCTTTAACTTTAATGGCATTAGAATGGACTAACCAGTGAAAGTTATTCTATTTTTCTCCTTTAAGAGAAACGGAACTATATATATATGTACACATATATATATTTAGATATATCTTTATTGATTTCAGAAAGAGGAAGGAAGAGGGAGAGAGAGAGATAGAAACATCAATGATGAGAGAGTCATCATTGATCGGATGCCTCCTGCACGCCCCCGACTGGGGATCGAGCCCGCCACCTGGGCATGTGCCCTGACCAGGAATGGAACTGAGATCTCCTGGATCCTAGGTTGATGCTCAACGGCTGAGCCACGCCTGGCCAGGCCACAACAAAATATTTATCGAGCAAGTACTGGGCCAGGATAATATGGGAGTTGTGCACAGGCACTTTACAGACATTCCTTTATTTTGCTTATGGCACCATCAACATCACCCCAGTTTATAAATAAAGACACCGAGGATGAGAGAGGTTCAGACAGTTCTCCTGTGTTCACACAACTACTAAGTGGCAGAGCCAAGATGCTAACCAAAGTTAGTGTGAGCAGACGCTCCCTTCTTCCCCAGCATCCCATGTGGTCACTGCCTCTTGGTGACCGTGGTCTACATCAGGAAGGGTAGAGCTGAGGGCTTCCTCTTCCTCGATTCTCTTTCCTACGACTGAACTGACCCGCGGGCACTGAACTATTCTACCCTGATGCACTGAGCTCCTCTCCTACCCTGACCCGGCCATTCTCTGAGCTCATTTTATGCACTGCTAATTTTGGCTCTCAACCAGACCCCATCTTAAATGTTGTGTAAAATATATTCCTATCTTATTCCCGCAAGAAATAAGTAGCGATGTCTTTTGACACGTCTCTGGCTTTCAGCGGTGTCCAGCACCCCTGTGGACCTGGGGTCACCATTCCCCAGCTCAGCAGCAGCTCCCCGGCCGGCGGCCAAGGTTTGTCCAGAGAAGCAGAATGAAGGTGTGATTATAAAGTAATAGAATTTTCCTACCAAGGCTGTGGATTCTGTGTCATTTACATTTAATTATAGCTCCTTAGAGATGGTCACGTGTTCAATTTTATCAATGATCTTACAAGGAGACAGGAAAAAAGCCTAAAGTGAGCAAAGTAGTGTTCAGCATCTGACAGGGCAAAACGTGGGGCGCTCCTATTGCGTAGCCACCTGATGTTCGTGTCCTACAACACGATGCCGTCTGATTTCCCCGTTTCTCAGGTGCGATGTTTTAGAGACTGTGGCTTTTACACGGGGCTGCGCGGCCCTACGAAGAAATACTTTAGTTCAGCTCTTTAAAAGGGAAAAGAGACCTTAAAAAAAAAAAAAAGCAAGCCATTTTTATAGACAAGAAATCGAGGCAAAAAGCGCGTCCACGACAAAGATGAAACCAGCACACCTGTTACTACTTTTTAAGCGACGGCTGATCCCGCTCGGCCACGGTCAATTTCCCTCCGCAGCGAGTCTCCCGAAGCATCCCCGCTGAACCACTCCCCCGACCCCACAAAAAGCCTCTCCAAGCGAACAGCTGCTTCTGAAACCGCACCCGGGGCGCCGGGGAAACGGACACCTGTTTCCAGCGCCCCCATGGGCGCCGCGCCACCTGCGGACGCCGGCGGCGCCCGGCTCCCAAGTCCGTCCCCAGGT